TTTATCTCAAAATTATTAATTCTTCTGATACTGGCATTTGATTTTAGCTTTGATCAATTTGCATGCTTGTGATGGCACTGTATGTTTGTGTCTGTGCATGTGATCAGACTCCAGAGTACTGGAAAATTCAATGCTATTAGTTTGATTAGCTCAATTTCAACGAGTGTTTAGTTGAGGCAGTGGATTTCAGCTACCCCATTACTCCCATTTTACTTCGTTAATTTTTCATAGGAATATTCGTTGGGTTAGATGCTCCTTGTTTGGCTTTGAGACGAGCACATACTATAATGCTGACTGAAGTGAAAAATTTTAGCTTTTTTGTTATGTTTTGATGATATTCATGCTATATAGATCTGTTTCTAAGGGCTTAGGAGCCAGTTGCTATGTTCATTAAATTGGATTTGACTTTAGTTTATTTATTAATTGTTAAAGAGATTTCTTTTTGTTTGTTTGTTGTTTCCTTTTCTTGTCTTTTAATAAACTAATTTATATTTGCTTTACAGGTCTCCTTGCATAGTTTTGGCATTCTGCTACTTGTGCACAGGAGTTGACTAGTTGCATTGCTCCAGCTAACTTATTACGATATTTGTGTCTACTTATTGGATGCGACACACAGTTACCCGTCTTAGATAAAGATGAATTTGCAGACGCACCAGACCGGACAAGTATCTGGGCAAGTTCCCATCCAATCTGGTTCTATGTTGCCTAGGCTACCTCACCAAAATGGAAACCCCTTGCCTAATCAGATACAAAATCCTAATGCTCGTCGCAATGTCCCAATTATTGATCAGGAAATTCTTCAAATACGCAGATATATGCAAGGGAAGATGTAAGACTTCTCCCCATTTATTATTTCAAATTTCCATGAGACATACCTTGGTGCAGTTGGCATAAAATATTATATGTCTAAGGATTTCAAGCATTCTCGCTTGCAGCTGGGAATTTCTTGTGCAGCGGTGCAGACAACCTCAGGATGTAACCAATCGAAAACTGGGCGATTTAGTGAAACGTTTGGAAGATGGTTTGTTCAAGACTGCTACTACAAAGGTTTATAACCTTTATTTTACGTTGTTTAATTTTTAGTAGAAGAATTATGTTCTCCAGTGTCTTCTCGAATAGCTGAAGCTTTTTCATGTATGTCAAATGCAGAAAACTAGTCAGCTATATATTTGAGTTGCTAAGGGTGTGATTGGATCATAGTTTTAAATGGCGAATGGCGAGGCGAGGCGATTCGCCATGGCGAGGCCTCGGCAACACAAGCCATCAGAGCTTAAAAAATATATTTATATAGGTAGTAATATCATATATTTAAGTTTAAGTGTCAAAAATAACCTTAAATATCCTCAAAGAAAATAATATAAATTAAATTTGGTTGTAATTACTAAAAGCATCTCAAACTTAAATGTGAATACTAGTAACAATACAAAAAAAAAAAAAAAAAAAAAAAAAAA